ACCAAAAAACCACACAATAGATTAAAATCAAAGAAAATGAAAAAAATCCCTGAATTATTCCCCACATTGCATAACTCATAATTTTTACTCATTAATAGTGAGATGCCAGTGTCAATCTACATATTAAATATTCATAAGACTTAGTTTTTTTATGTTTTTAGATAAAAATACCTTTTTTAAGTTCTAATGTTTTCTTCCCATGATCCACCTTCTCTGGTTGTATTCTTCTCTTTGGAGGCCATTGACATGGCTGTACTAAAGCCTGATAGGTTTGCTGTTATGCAGTAAATATTTGTGGAGTAAGTATATGAATGCATGAATTGATTAATAAATAAATGAGCAAATATTGATGTCTGGCTACTCTTCCTACTCTTCCCACTCTAAATTAAGTTACTAATATTACATGCATATGTGTTTGTTTATTTTCTATATGGATTTTATGTCTTCATTCCTGAACACTCTGGTGGACACCAAACTTATACATACATCTACCTTTTTGATGACTTGAAACATCTCAAATTTAAATTGACCTGAACAGATCATTTTTGATTTCTGAGCCTCCCCCACCTTCCTCCTGCAACATATGCTCTGTCGGCTCTCTCTACCTCAATAAATAGCACCATCATGAATTCAGTTGATCAAGCCCAAAACTTAAAAATCTTTATTTCACTTTCAATTCATTACTAAGTGCTGTTGCCTCATCCTCTGACATTTACCCCAATCCAACCAGTTCTCTTTATATCTACTACTTCCCATCCTACTCCAATCATTATCTTTTCTTGCCTGGACTACCTAATTGTCTCCTAACTTCTAGAACTCAAACTAGAAGCTCCTACCTTCTATTCCTATCCCACAAAATTCATACTCCACAAAATGTCTAGAGTAATCCTTTTAAAATATATCAGATTATATATAATTCTTAGTTAAAACTTTCTCTTAGTTAAAACCTTGCAAAGATTTCCTGTCCCACTCAGCATAAAATTCATATCCCTTGCCATGGCCTACGAAGCCCAATGCAAGCTAGCCCCTGGCCACTTTGTTCATCTCATCTACCACTCTTCCTTTTATAACAATGACCCAGCCACTCTGCCCTTATTGAAGCTTGTTAAATAAACTAAGTTTACCTCTGCCACAAAGCCTTTCAGTAGTTAATCCCTTTTCCTAAACATTCTTCTCCCAAATCTTTGCTCTTATGTAGTTCCATCTGGTCATTTGGGCCTCTCAAATGTTACCTCCTCAAACAGGCTTTTCATGACCATTCAATCTAGGCTGATTGTCCTTAATGTTTCCTCTGTGCCTATAAGAGTGCCTGGCACAGGCTTAATAAATTTTTATTGAATTAATGACATTTCTTAGGGGAGAGTCACATTTTAAAAAATTGCCAGGACTGGTGTAGGTCAGAAGCTTATAAATTGTTTTGGATTATTTTTCTTGTTCCCTTCACTTTAAAAAGTTCATAATATAACCCCAGTCAAAACATGAAAAAAAAAAAGCATCAGGCACACCTGGACTGGGGGGACATTCTACAGGAGATCTGGCTAGTGTTCCTGAACACAGTTAAGCTTAAGAAAAACAATTAAAGACTAAGAAACTGTCACAGACCAGAGGAGACTGGGGAGACATAACAACTAAATGCGGTGTGGTACCCTGGATTGGATCCTGGAACAGAAAGGGAATATTAATGAAAACACTGGTGAAATAAAACAGATAGTTTGGTTACTAACAATGTTCCAATGTCAGTTTCTCAGTTTTGACAAATGTATGATGGTAATGTAAAGGGGAAACTGGGAGGAGTACGTGTGAA